TCACCACAAACCAGAGGAGGACATATGTATATTGTGAGCTGTAGCACTGGGGGTGGGCTGGAGTGCAAATAAAAGTGACACTAGTATAACCACTTCAAGTCCGGACACTTCCACCCCCTTCCTGTCCAGGCCAAACTGGTAACCCATGCTGAGCAGACACAGCCCCACTGTATGGGGGAATACAAAGTCTGCCCAGAGTTCCTCTTTTTAACCACTTCATGTCCGGACACTTTCCCCCCCCCCCCCCCGACACTTTCCCCCCCCTTCCAGTCCCGACACTTTCCAGTCCCCCACCCCCCCCCCTTCCAGTCCCGACACTCCCGCATCCCCCCCCCCCCCCCCCCCCACCCCCCCCCCCCCCCCCCCCCCCAGTCCCCCCCCCCCTCCCCCCCCCCCCCCCCCGACACTTTCCCCCTTCCAGTCCCGACACTTTCCCCCCCTTCCAGTCCCGACACTTTCCCCCCCTTCCAGTCCCGACACTTTCCCCCCCCCCTTCCAGTCCCGACACTTTCACCCCCTTCCAGTCCGGACACTTTCACCCCCCTTCCAGTCCCGGACACTTTCACCCCCCTTCCAGTCCGGACACTTTCACCCCCCTTCCAGTCCGGACACTTTCCACTTTCACCCCCTTCCAGTCCGACACTTTCACCCCCTTCCAGTCCAGGCCAATTTTCAGCTTTCAGCGCTATCACACTTTGAATGACAATTGCGCAGTCATGCAACACTGTACCCATATGAATTTTTTAGCATTTTCTTTTTTTAGACAGATAAAGCTTTAATTTTGGTGGTATTTATTCACCGCTGGGATTTTTTTTTTTTTTTGCTATGTAAGTGTTTTTCTTATAAAATTTTGCAAATTAATATTTTCATCATAAATCTTGGCCAAAATGTATTCCGTTATCTTTTTAGTAAAAAAAAAAAAAAAAAAAAAAAAAAAAAAAAAAAAATCAAAAATTAAAATTTTTTTTAAACTTTTTTTATATTTTTTTTATTCTACATACGGTCACCCTAGCAGTACAGTGTCACCATGGCGTCACTGTACTACTTGTGGGGGGTGAGGAAGATTTTTTTTTTTTTTATTACACGGATTGCTTTTACACCCATAAAGGCTGGGCCATTGAGAACTACTGTGTGAGCTGCGATTGGTCACAGCTTGTCACATGGTACAAGGCTACTGTGAATAGCCTTGTACCATGTGACCTCGGTGATCATTCACAGATTTCACACGTAGTAAGCAATGTCAGAAGTGACATCTTGCTTACTACTCTGCATGTGGCCAATCAGTGATCACATGATCGGGACCTCGCTGCAAGGTCCCATACGGCGATTGGTGTGTACCACTGTGTCAGGAGGACACCGCGGGCACCGGATCGCGGTGCTGCGTGCTCCCAGGGAGCGCGCACAAGCAGGGGGCGGGGAGACCGTTTATAAACGGCCACCTGACCCTGCACTGCCACCGTCCGGCCATTTATGTACAATGGGCCGGACGGGAGTGGTTAAAAAGAGTAAAAAAAAAAAAAAGTTGAAATCTATTCCAGTATCTCCACTCTACTCTCGCCCTCCAAAAATGCAGTGCAATTGCAGGTATGGGAACCACTGCAGTTTAAACGTGGTGCAGGAACGTTATACTGTAGGCCATTCAAATGAATGGGTTGCCATACCCGAGCAAAATGTGACTCGCAGAGCTGCAATAGTGTGCACTGAGCATTAGGCTGTGGATGTAGGAGGTCCCACTGAGGTGCATTTGATCTTTGAGCTGCAAAAAAATGACTGCGTTTGACAAGAATGCCCATCAACATCATACCTTAACCATTTGCCTACCGGGCACTTATACCCCCTTCCTGCCCACGCCAATTTTCAGCGCTGTCACAGTTTGAATGACAATTGTGCGGTCATGCAACACTGTACTCATATGAAATTTTTATAATTTTTTTTCACACAAATAGAGATTTTGGTGGTATTTAATCGTCGCTGCGTTTTATTTTTTTATGCTGTAAATCAAAAAAAAAAAAAAAAGTTTTTTTTACGTTCCTATTATAAAATTTTGCAAGCAGGTAATTTTTCTCCTTTGCTGATGCATTGATGAGGCTGCACTGATAGGAGGCACTGAGGGCACTGCTGGGCAGCACAGATCATCAGTGCCGATCACTTCTGACACATGCTGGTTATCGGCAGTACTTTCCTCACTCTGTGACAGCATGAAGAAAGTACAGACGATAACCGGCAACTGTATTTACCTGGTGATCTGCTGTGCCAATGGTCACAGCTGATCACGTGTTAAAAGGCCGCTGTGATTGGCCGTTTACCATATCATCATGTGATCAGTCCGTCAAAGTGATCACGGGTGGCGCCAGGTGCGAGCAGCTGGGGGCGTGTTTCTGGAATGACGTCCCATGGAAGTCCTCTCAGAACTAGACAACTGCAGTGTAGCTGTTCGGCTATAGCACAGTAGGGAAGAGGTTAAGAGCACCATTATATAGTTCAACTAAACCCTTCAAAATAAAACGAATACGAGGAAAAAAAAAAAAAAAAAAAAAAAAAAAAGGAAGAAGAATCCATTCTGCCTCCAAACACAACGTATTTTACATAGCACGGCAATGGTTCTGTATAAAGGTTGGAGAACAGCACCAAGGCTCACCAACATGTAAGACCTATGAACCAATCACCAAGGAGAAAAAAAAATAAAAAAGAAAATGTAAAAACCGAGGAAATTTAATCTTAAACCCCCCTGCAATGTTCTGTCTCATAGTACACTCTGACAACCCGGCCTGTGTCGGTGCCAACATACTTTTCCATTCGTATGAATGGGAAGTGCTCCAACACAGCCAGAGAGCACCGGTTAGCTACAGGCCCAATGACAGGGAGGCAGTTTCATAAGGAAGCACACATTTTAATCTCCATACCAGGGGTCTTCAAACTGTTCAATACAAGGGCCACATAGTATATTTTAAAAATATTCCCAGGCAAAAAAAAAAAAAAAAATTTAAATTACAAATTAGAGCCCACATCACAGCGCCTCCTTATACCAGGGCCCCCCATCACAGCGCCTCCTTATACCAGGGCCCCCCCATCACAGCGCCTCCTTATACCAGGGCCCCCATCACAGCGCCTCCTTATACCAGGGCCCCCCATCACAGCGCCTCCTTATACCAGGGCCCCCCAATCACAGCGCCTCCTTATACCAGGGCCCCCCCATCACAGCGCCTCCTTATACCAGGGCCCCCCATCACAGCGCCTCCTTATACCAGGGCCCCCCATCACAGCGCCTCCTTATACCAGGGCCCCCCATCACGGCGCCTCCTTATACCAGGGCCCCCCCATCACAGCGCCTCCTTATACCAGGGCCCCCCCATCACAGCGCCTCCTTATACCAGGGCCCCCCCATTAACAGCGCCTCCTTATACCAGGGCCCCCCCATCACAGCGCCTCCTTATACCAGGGCCCCCCCATCACAGCGCCTCCTTATACCAGGGCCCCCCCATCACAGCGCCTCCTTATACCAGGGCCCCCCCATCACAGCGCCTCCTTATACCAGGGCCCCCCCATCACAGCGCCTCCTTATACCAGGGCCCCCCATCACAGCGCCTCCTTATACCAGGGCCCCCCCATCACAGCGCCTCCTTATACCAGGGCCCCCCCATCACAGCGCCTCCTTATACCAGGGCCCCCCCATCACAGCGCCTCCTTATACCAGGGCCCCCCCATCACAGCGCCTCCTTATACCAGGGCCCCCCCCATCACAGCGCCTCCTTATACCAGGGCCCCCCCATCACAGCGCCTCCTTATACCAGGGCCCCCCCATCACAGCGCCTCCTTATACCAGGGCCCCCCATCACAGCGCCTCCTTATACCAGGGCCCTCCCATCACAGCGCCTCCTTATACCAGGGCCCTCCCATCACAGCGCCTCCTTATACCAGGGCCCTCCATCACAGCGCCTCCTTATACCAGGGCCCCCCCATCACAGCGCCTCCTTATACCAGGGCCCCCATCACAGCGCCTCCTTATACCAGGGCCCCCCATCACAGCGCCTCCTTATACCAGGGCCCCCCATCACAGCGCCTCCTTATACCAGGGCCCCCCATCACAGCGCCTCCTTATACCAGGGCCCCCCATCACAGCGCCTCCTTATACCAGGGCCCCCAATCACAGCGCCTCCTTATACCAGGGCCCCCCATCACAGCGCCTCCTTATACCAGGGCCCCCATCACAGAGCCTCCTTATACCAGGGCCCCCAATCACAATGCCTCCTTATACCAGGGCCCCCAATCACAGCGCCCCTTACATAACAGGATCCCAATCAGAGTTCTCATCAGAGTCCCCCCCTTACATCAAGGTAGAAGCAAAGACCACAGACAACCTCTGCCGACCCGAATCCTCAATCTGTGCATATTGACAATATCCACTGGCCCACCTGTGGGCCTCAAACACTTGTAGCGGGCTGGATCTGGTCCACATGTTTTTAGTATGGAAACCCCTTCTCTATACAATACTAACATATGTTGTGTATAGTGACTATTCCTGCTGTCCAAGTGCTTTTCCGGTTTTGCGCTCCCTGATGCGCTGCGTGAAATACGTGCGCACAGAACACAGCAACTTTACATGGAAAACAGAGGCCAGGAGCACAGGGCACCTTCATTCCCCCACGCAGCAACCCATGTGCATTCAGCACTGAGCGCAGTAACGGTGAGTACCAACACCACAACGATCAGCCCAGGAGTCACCACCGGCAGGAGTATAAAGTGAACCTGTCATTAAAGAAACTCAGGACTGCCACTGCTGAAATCTCACCTTGAAATGGCTACTTTCCTGGCTTCAATATTTTGGGTCATTGACAAGCATGCAGCAAGTAAAGTCACAAATCTTAACCTCCACTGAAGACAAGAGAAGCAAATGCTAACACATGAACAGACCCATATGTGCAAACGGACCGCCAGGCCGCTGGTTACACCGAGATGCTTCATCAGACAAATCACATCACAGCCGAGACTCTCGTACTCACCGCCATGTACGGCCGGCAGCCGGCATCCCTCGTCTTGGCAATGGAGTCCACAAGCTGCCCGCTGATGCCAAAGTCACACAGCTTAATATTTCCATTTCTGTCCAGAAGGATATTTGAAGGTTTGATGTCTGCAATAGGACAACAAAATACCAGTTTACCATTATTATTATTTCAGGTACTTATATATCGCCGTCATTGTACTCCGCGCTTTACATATATATTGTACATTCACATCAGTCCCTAACCCTCAAGGGGCGTACAATCTAAGGTCCCTAACCCTCAAGGGGTGTACAATCTAAGGTCCCTAACCCACATTCATACATACACATACTAGGGACAATTTAGACAGGAGCCAATTCACCTGCCAGCATATATTTGGAGTGTGGGAGGAAACCGGAGTACCCGGAGGAAACCCACGCAGGCACAGGGAGAACATGCAAACTCCAGGCAGGTGGTGCCATGGTTGGGATTCAAACCAACGACCCGAGTACTGCCAGGTGGAAGTGCTAACCACTAAACCACTGTGCCGCCCATTTGTTGCTCATAGGTAGCCGACCCAACATCTGGGACAATATTATCCATCATTACGTACTGAGCCCCCATTGATTTAACAACTTCTCGGCGGGGAAACTGAATCATTTTCCAAAAGGTGCAGATCAGAGCAACTGTAATAAACCTGCTCAGAAGTCTTACCAGCAGGATAAAGTACATGAGAAGGAACAGAAATATTACATTGTAAGGCCTCCTGCAAACTGGGACACTTTGGCCATCTCTCCTTGATACCTTTCCTTCTGGCAGCAGAATTTTGGCAAAAGAAATTAAAAAAAAAAAAAAAAAAAAAAAGCAATACACACCGAACTGAGCGTGTACAGAGTGACTCCACACGATATGTCTTATCAGGGAGATAAGAGGGGGACACTGGAAGAAGGGTAGGATCAGAGGGGAACACTGGAAGGAGAGGATCAGATTATTCAGGATCAAACAGCCTTTTTACACAATGCAGAGGATTAACCCCTTAGGTCCCACAGTGAGTATAACAAGCATGCTTTACTGCATCTACAGACTGATTGTACTGTTGTGGGTTTAGTAACACTTTAGGTGCATCAAGCGCTTGGACAGTAAACGTGTTACAGACATTTACAAGTGTGTTTGTTTTTTTTGTGTTTTTTTTTTTTTTGCAAAAACACACACACACACACACAAAAAAAAAAAAAAAAAAAAAACAAACACACTTGTAAATGTCTGTAATGCGTTTAGGTGCATCAAGCGCTTGGACGGTAAAGGGTTACTAAACCCCCCACAGTACAATCAGTCTGTAGATGCAGTAAAGCATGCTTGTTATACTCACTGTGGAACCTAAGGGGTTAATCATCTGCATTGTGTAAAAAGGTGCTTTGATCCCGACTTCTTTGATCCTCTCCTCCTTCCAGTGTTCCCCTCTGATCCTACCCTTCTTCCAGTGTCCCCTTCTGATCTCCAGATAAGACATATCGTGTGGAGTCACTCTGCACATGCTCAGTTTGGTGTGTATTGCTTTTTTTTCTCCCCCTTCTTGGGAGAGTGCATGGGATAAGCACCGGGCCAATCAGCACCTAGGTTATGAAGCCTCATAGGACAATCAGGGGAGAATGAAAACTCCTCTTACAAGCTTTAACCAGTGCTCTGCTGGACACTGATAGAAGTCACAAGACTGCTCTAACTGCTAATGGGAAAAGGTATTTAGCAGTTTATATGTACTAAAATGATTGCATTTCCATGTTCTGTGTACTGAGGGAGAGCGGATGTATTCAATGCAGGGCCCTGGGTTTAGTAACACTAATTTATTCTGGCTATTGAACGGAATGCTCAAGCACCAAACGTGCCTAGTGTTGACACGCGTTTAGGTGCATCAGGTTTCCTAGCACATACATCATCTAGGTATCCCGAAGAGGGGGAGCAGGGCATTGCTGCCAACAAATACTTTTGTCATCAGTATGTCAAAGAGCGAGAAATTGAGGGCGAGGAGGAACCACGTCATCTGGCTGCCACTGTAAATGCGTTCAGGCGTCCCAATGTTTCATATGACTCTTTCTACAATAAGACCCCACAGGACACACCTTCCCCAGCAGAATGTCTGAAGTTCTGCTTTAACCCCTCGCCTACAGGGCACTTATACCTCCTTCCTGCCCAGGCTTTTTTTTACTTTTTCTTAAGCCAAAAACCACTGAAAATTAAAAAAAAAAAAAAAACCGTTTCTTCTGAGTTTTTGTTATAACATTTTGTAAAATAAGTGATTTTTCTCCTTCACTGATGTGCGCTAATGAGGCTGCACTGATAGGTGGCACTGATGAGGAGGTACTGGTAGGTGGCACTGATGAGCATTGACAGGCATCCCTGATGGGCACTGATAGGTGGCACTGACTGGCATTGATAGGTGACACTAAAAGGCAGCTCAGATGGGCACTGATATGTGGCAATGATGTGGCACTGGCAGGTGGCATGGATGAGCACTGAGAGCTGGCACTGATGGACACTGACAGGTGGCGCTGCTGGGGCTACACAGATCATCAGGACACACTGATCATCAGTGCTCTGATGATCAGTGTACATGTCCCCTCCGAGGATTGCCGATTTCCGGCTTTCCTCTCCTCTGTCAGCGTGACAGCTCGTGAGGAGAGAAATGCCGATAACCGGCATTTCCCTGTTTACATGTGATCAGCTGTGATTGGACACAGCTGATCACAGGACCGAGTCAACATCGTCGCCTCTTTTTCCGTGGATCAGCGATCCGCAGTGTCCGAGGGACACAGCGCACCGCAAATCCGTGAGCCAAGCATGCGCGGTTAGAATGGGAGGACGTCATATGGCGTCCTCCCAGAAGGAGAGAACCACCTTGCGTCCGTCATTTTACTATATGGCGGGTGGGAGGCGTTAAAGTGCACAGAAAACAAAGAATCTTTTTTGTGATGTACCTCGTTACAGCAGAAAGATCAGATCATAGCTGACGGTCTTGCACTGCGGACCCTCGGTGTACCGACTACCCAGTCAGTGGTATCGCTAAGGAGTGCAAAGAAAATACTGCGTCCATGCATCGATCTGTCACTGCCAGGATGGGTCAAGTCACCCTCTCTGAAGGAAATGCCGCAATGTCACCATTGATAGAGTGATGCGTGGAAACGGAGTATTTCTTGGCCCTGTACCCTGTTGTCGGGGAGCTGTTCCGCACAGGCAATGCATTCCACACGGCAAGGTTGCATCACTCACAGGTATGGCTAGGAGACATTCACTCATCACTTTACTGTCCGTTATAACACCAGGTAAAGATTTTGTTTTAATAGTGCACTTATCCTTTGACCCCCGTGTGCCCTGACATACTGAGCCCCCCCGCCCCCTTTCCTCCATAGTTGCATACTTACGCTGATCTAGCGGGCGCAGCCTCTGGCGTTTGTTTACATGCAACGCTGGGAGTCTTACGGTCCTGGTTGCACCCAATCTTTGCATCCCCATATACTTCTATAGGATTGTTGTCTCCAGGCTCAGGGCACAACCAGAAAGACTATGGGGCTGTAACATGGAGGCGCAGCCCGGTGAGACTTGCGGTACTGGATGTAAACAAACACCAGACCAAGGCAAGTATGCATCTGTGAAGGAGGGTGGGGGGCCCGCGAGTTGTTAAATTAATGGAAATTGCCAAAATAATTATTGCACTGTATCAAAAAGTGGTTGTAAACCCTTCCATATACCCAGTGAAGTGACTGGCAGATGAAACAAATCCTCCTATATAAGTTGTACCTGTTTATCTGCCGTCTTTTCTCTACATCCAAAGTGCAGAACTTACACACGTTGTACAGGTTTATCTGCGGCCCTTTCTTTACATTCCTTCAAAGTGTAGAATTTTAAAGCTTGTCTGCGAGTTGAGAAAAAAAAAAAAAAAAAAAAAAAAAAGCGGAGAGCTGATGTTACACTCTTCAGAGCTCAGTGATGAGAGCTCTGACAGCTGATTGGAGGGAAGAGACACACTCCCCTCCACACAGGAACAGAGCTGAGGCTGTCAATCAGCTGGAGATCCCTTCCTTGCCACCATTTTCCTCCTGGTGTCAGGAAAACTTGTCAGAAGTAAAATTATGCTGATAGCAGAGGAAGGAAGCAGCAAACAGAAATAAAACTTAGGGCCAGTTCACACCACATGCATTTCCGGTGCAGTTTGCCATGTTCCAGTATGGTTCTGTGCAGGAAAAAAAAAAAAAATGCAGTATGTTCTATTTTTTTTTTCTGCATCGGAAACTGACTGCACGAGTGTGCACCAGGGCCATTGGATCACATGGAAAACACTGTGCATACATTTTTGATTCAGAAAAAAAAAAAAAAAACACGCAATGAACTGCATCTAGTGTGAACTAGCCCTTAGTGCTCTGGATTAAGCCAAATACACACTATAGATGATATGCTTTATTCATGTCTGAGGTTTCCAACCACTTTAAAGGGCAACTATCCTTCAAGCAGAGCACTTTTCTTGCACAAGCACTGCTCTCCATTCCCATTCAGCGTTTACCTGGGTTTGTATGGTCCTTGTATTATCGTATAAACATATAAAAAGCAGCAAAAATAAACCTTTCCTAGCAAAAAAAAAAAAAAGTGACAATATTTCAAACATTGACTCACCTCTGTGAATAATTTTCAAGTTTTCTTTTAAGTGGTTCAATGCTTTCACAGTCTGCCAGAGAAAGAAGTAAGAAATCAGCCGAGATCACTTTAACCAAATAGCAAGAATTAATCAGTTACAGTTTTGTTGATACATTTTATATAGTATTTTAACACTTTTTCTTGTTTTAGGTAGTCGAACACTTGAGATTTTGAGCTTAGACATGTGAGAGTGATGACACCAAATATAGCACACCCGCTCCCCATTCACACCTGAGACCACCAAATCACATGACACCGGGGAGGGAAAATGGCTAATTGGGCCCAATTTGGACCTTGTCACTTAGGCTACGTTCACACTAGCGTTGTGTGCAGGCGGCAGAGAGGCGTTTGGGAAGCGTTTTTACCGCTTCCCAAACGCCTCTGCCAATTCTGCACATTACAGCACATGGTGCCGTTCTTACAGGAGCGTTTGCGTCGCGTCGCGGCAAAACAGACGCCTCTGGTCGAGTCAGGAGGCATTGAAGCCTCCTATTCTAGTCTATGGTGCCGCTTCGCAAACGCCAAGCCGGCGTTTGCGACGCGGTTGCAGGGCGTTTGCGGAGCAGTAACACCATTCAAACTGCATTATAGGCGTTTGTGGGGCGTTAACGCTCGGCAAACGCCTAGCAACCGCCGTTAAAACCGCGCATGCAGCGTTTGCGGAGTGTTTAGCGTTAAAAACCGCTCTGCAAACGCCGGACCAACGCTTGCCAAACGCTAAAAGGCGCGTTTGGCAAGCGTTGGTAAAACAGCCAAATGTGAACGAGCCCTTAGGGGTGGACTTACGTTTGTTGCCAGCAGTTTAGACATTAATGGCGTTGATTTATTTTGAGGGGACAGCATATTTCCATGTTATACAAGCTGTACACTGACTACGTCACATTGTAGCAAAGTGTCATTTCTTCAGTGTTGTCACATGAAAAGAGAATCAAATATTTGCAAAAATGTGAGGGGGGGGGGGGGGACTCACTTCCGGGAAATACTGTAGTATAACAGCAGCAACGGTCAATTCTACTGTGGACAGAATTGAACGTTGAGAGAGAGCGTAAGCTCCTCTGGAGCAGAGACTGATGTGACTGGTTCAATTTCCCTGAACAGCATTAAGAAATATGTAACTATATAGTGCGATTGTGCTGGGACATTAGAGTGTAAGCTCTTCTGGTGTGATGACTGGTGTGTCTGACCGACTCCGTGTTCTCTGGGCAGCACTACAGTATATGTTGAAGTCATAGAAATGGATAATATTAGGTAACTGTGGTGGGCCATTAGAGTGTAAATGTTTATTAAAATCTTACAAACATAAAAAAAAAAAAAAATAATAATATATCACATATTTACATATATACAGAATAAATAAAAGACATATAATTAAACAAAAAAATAGCTTACTTCAGCACAAAAAACTGCTTTTTTTTTTTGCCGGGAAAAACAAACAGAACCAAATCATATTTTACTATTATTATCTTTATGATGTATCTCAGCAAATCCGACCATCACCTAAAACACCCCCTCAGACTAGGTTATAGGTCCGGTGGCCTCCTTTATTATTATTTTGTATGGTCAGTGTACTTTTTGCATTCACATATGTTGATTTTATCATTTACTATTCACCCACGTGGATTAATACATTTATTTTTATCAAATTACTACACTATGGGCTATTATTCTTGTTGACTCCCCCGTGAGCCAACAATCCATCCCTAGAGCCCACACTCCATGGCACAGGAGATATCCCTATATTGCTGACACCAGCCTACCACTACTTGAGGAGAACGCCAGGTCCAGGGCGATCCACCCGACTCCATACCTGAGAGGTTTCCAAGGTGGTACTCGGGGCTTTCCCAAGAGAGACGACTACTGAACAGGCCAATACCAAAAGGGGGAGAGTCCGTTGAGAACGGTTCAGCTCATCCATCCCATCCCTGAGGGGGACCTCTGGTTATTGATATGCGTATATTAAAATACGCATCTGGTGAGTGCGTATTTTAGCTATTTTATCACCTCGCCACCTGGAACGCTGAAGTCACTTACATCTTCTGTAACCATCACCTATCACAGACTGTCACCATTTCACACATATTGTGATTTTAATTTTTTTCATTTGTTCAGCTGGTTTACAGATTGGAGGTATTTTTGTATTTTTAGCGCTGCACTTTTTTAGTAACCCCCTCAGACTAAGAAGCGATTAAACATTGATCCCATGCATGCAGCCATTTTTAAAAAATCTGATCTTAGATCTGATCTGGCCATTAGAGTGTAAGAATGATGAAATGGCTCATTGTTCTCTGTGCAGCACTGTGGAACATGTCCGCTATATACAGTAAAGGAGGAATCATAATAAATATCAAGTGACCCACGGGTGGGGTATTAAAGCGTAAGCTCCTCTGTTACAGAGACTAATGTAAATGGTTCAGGGTCTTCTCTGTACAGCACTGGCGAATACCAGAGCTAGATACATAATAACGACAGTGTGTGACTGTAACAGGACATTAGAGTGTAAGCTCCTCTGGTGCAGAGACTGATGTGACTGACTCACTGTACAGCACTGCGGTAGAATTAAGAAAAATAGTTAAAAATGTATTAGGTGTTTGTTGCAGTAGTTACACTGGTCCAAATATACAGTATATCAATGCCTAGGGATATGGATTATATATAAAATATACTATATACGCCATTAACCAAATAATTTACTCACAGCTAAAGTGATTTTGCCTAGGATCTCCTCTGGAATAACGTCATCTAATGAACTATATACATATTTGTAAAATTTGTCAAACGAGGTAGCCATAAGCTCCATACAGATCCAACAGTCACCCTGGAACAGAGAGGAGGTGGTAGGTTAGCAAAAATTTTACTTGTAAATATTAAAACTTTTTTTTAAAATGGACTGAACAGCTTACTGACCAAGGATAGTGAACTATCGCGGTTACCTTGTTCCTGATGTCTGCACAGGCACTTGAAGTATAATATGTGCCCATGTGCTTTTATCTGCCATTTTCTGTCAGCCATTCATAAATCTGCAAGAGACCACCTCACCACGGCTCAGTCATTTCCGCCATGAATATGGCAGAAGACTCACCTCTCTGAATAACGCCCCATAAAACTGAACAATGTAAGGACAGTCACTGCTTCGCATCACCACATCGAGATCCATCAACAGCTGCTTCTGTTCCTTCTCGTCTACAGTTGAGCGGATCCTCTGCAGGAAGGAAGGATTGAACAGGGTCAGACATTTTGAAGTGACAGTTCAGGCTGTAGTTTGATTTTCTAGTAAATAAAAAAAAAAAAAGGGCAGTCACTTTACTATTTCAGAGCAAAAAGTGACAGTTCCTTTCCTGCACTTCAAAAGCGTCATTCACTTGTTACGTGTGGGCATGATGTCTAGAGCTGGTGTCAGTCACTGTACTGCTGTCCGTAAGCACTATATTATTATTATACAGGATTTATATGGAGCCAACAGTTTGCTCAGCGCTTTACAATATAACGGGAGACAATACAGCAACAATACAGTTCAATACAAGAGGGATAGGAGGGCCCTGATCCTGGGAGCTTACAATCTAGGAGATAGAACATATCCCTGGCATCTCTTTAGATGTGCATGCTCCTGGGTGGTACACACTTTAGTTGTGCAATCTGCTGACCCGAGCAAGCAACTGATCAGCAGATTACACAGCTAAAATCTGCAGCACCCAGTGGTCAGCAGGGAGGGGCGTGTATAAAGGAATGTGTTCCTCAGCAACTGGACTCATAAAAAGACCTTTTCTCTTTTGTGGGGATCTTTCAGCAGCTTTTTTTTTGGTCCCTTTAAAAGTCAACAAAACATTTTTCTTAGCACCTTGTCCTGGTTTCGGTCAGTGATCCTCTCTCTGCGCACCATTTCTTTTTTTCCAAACTGCCAAATTAATTTTCTATCATTCAAGTAACAATGGGAATCTCACAGCAGGGATATATTATGCAAATTGAACGTTAATAAAAATGGCTCCACTGTATTTTCAGGTAGGAAGTGCAGCTCACCTTGACGGCCATTATCTGTCCACTCGGATTGTGAATCATTTTATTGACCGATCCATACGCTCCTCTCCCAATCTCGCCAAGGTCCTTCAGGTCCTCCGCCGTGAAGTCCCAATGCTGCTCCGGGGAAAGCTTTAATTTTCCAGAAGATTCGATACTGTGTGTTCGTAAGCGCTCTCTGTCCGGATTAAAGGGGAAGCAGAGTTAAAACAGAACTCCGACTCTAAACAAAAAGCATAAGAAAAGGACAAAAAGCTGTCTAGAGCACCAAATATAACTTGTGCACAGTTCCCTCCCCATATATACACACACAACAGAAATGGGCTGCTACTTACACAATGTTCTAAACTGGACATCCAGAATATTCTCCTGTCCATGCTTACCCTTATAGAAAAGGAAACCTGCTATGGGAATCATATGGGGCTGCCACTGTAAATGCTGGTTGCCTGGCTGTCCCCAATTCATGGCTCCATACTTGTTCAGGTCAGGGTCTTAAAAGTTGTATAGGATGGATTGCCAGGCAGCCAGCATTTTCCAAGAAGGTTAAAAACAGCAGTCTAAAAAACATCCTCCAGGAGAGTTTTCCCACAGAACTCAGTAATGTCACCTGGGTATGAAATCAGCCATTTATTTTTATAGCTGAGTGGAACACACAGATCATCATCCACTGTAAAAGGAATTTCTCACACACCTAAGAAGAATTGATGAATGCAAAATAAAAAATAAAAAAAATCAGCACTGACCTATAGTGACAGCGACTTTTAAAAAAAAAAAAAAAAAAAAAAAAAAAAAACTTTTTTCCTGACCTCCAGAACGGATTAATTGGTTTTCAATGTATTCCTATGGGAAACCGCATTGCGAATTTTTCGAAATACGAAACGTCCCGGAGAACACATTAAATTCATAAACCGAGGTACACCTGTATATATGTATAAAATGCACACTGCCATTTAAAGAAAGCGTTGCCTTTCTCTGGAAGAACGGAGGATTCTGAAGACTTTCTTTCAAGGTTTATCTAGATACAGTATGGTTCCTGCCAGTCACTGTAAATGTAGTCTGCCATTTTGAATTATCTGCGAATCCCCCTAAAAGAGTCACAGTGGAAGGTGGCAATTCATACTGCTAATTAGAATGGACACATAAACAGACCATAAACATTATTTTCCAACTATTACAGTCTGTTCTGCAGACACTGATCACTATCCAGTCCAAGGTCAATGTAAGAACTGCGATTAATCGCCTAGTCTATTGTGGTTTCTATCATCGTAATACAGGTCCTCCTCGGTTGGACACCCTCCCTCATATCCTTTGTAACACCCCCAAACTCCCTTTCTCTACTAAGATCCCATCTCTCACTAAACATCTTTTTCCATATTTCCCCCCTACCTCCACCCCATTTCTTCCACAGGACTTTGGACCTCTTAATATCGCCAAACTTTCTAAATAAAAGAGTCAGCTAACTGTCCTTCAGGCTTTAGAGGGGTCCAGACTGGTCAGCAGGAGTAAAATATGCCTCCTCACTGGCTTTAGTGGGACGAATGGTGCCCCACCGCCGGAATCCCGGGGGACGACGAGTGGTGCCCCACTGCCGGAATCCCGGGGGACGAGTGGTGCCCCACCGCCGGAATCCCAGGGGACGAGTGGTGCCCCAAGGGCCGGATAAAGGCAAGCAAAGGGCCACATCCAGCTTGCAGGCTGTAATTTGGAGACCCCTGCAGTAGAGAATTACACATTTAGCCTAATCTCTGGACCAAAATGCATGACAAGGCCTAGCCTGTATATACCATGTCTTATCTTGGATTCTGTGAAAAAAAAAATTGGTCCGAATGAGCCTTTGCCTTGGAGGAACCATCTTGACAATAGCATAGACAGGGGCTCTTAATAATTATTAATATTATTCACCAAAGACTGATGATAACCAATAATATGTTACTAAGAGGACAGGGGACTTCTATCCTATGAGAAAAGCTATCTGCATCTACAATTATTTGACTGCGACTGATGGGGCCCAAAAAAGAAATGTGTTTTCCCTGCTTGGGTTATATAACAGCTGATTGGTTGGCTTTTTACCTTCCACTGCATTAAATATAGGTGGTGATAAATGGATCATTTTTCAGCATTCCATGAATGAATCAGCTGTTGTGTCAATTCTGCCTTCCAATTTACACAAATCTGATACTAAAATGGTTAAACGGCTAATTGGGTAAATTCTTTTAACCAATCGGCAGTCATTAGTTGCGGATATTCCCCAGAGTGTCTTTGCAGTTAGTGATAAACGATCCAAGAGGCAATGAATAACATTCCCCTAATGTAATTCCGGGCCCTGCCGAGTCCCGTATAGTAAATCTGAGCTGATCAAATTTATTGCAGCTTTCCACACAAACAAAGGCAGTAAACGGCATCACACAAAACTAGGCGAGAGCTGGGCAAAGTATTTCCGGAAATACAGCAGACATCCTTGGCGATGTTAAGATCCTGCAGCCTACACAAGAGGAAAAAAAAAAAAAAAAAAAAAAAAAAAAAAAAAAAAAAAAAAACACATGGCCAAATTTAGGTGATGCCCCCCCCATCCAAATGACTGGGTTCCGGTGGTTTCAGTGATGGGTACGGTTATACGACAGCATACAAAGACATTATAGACAATTGTGCTCTGCTAACCTTGAGGAAATATGGTGAAGGTCATTCTCTGTTCCACCATGACTGTACCTCTGAACAGAGCCAGCTCCATAAAGACATGGTTTGACCAGTGTGGTGTGAAGGAACTTGAGTCCTGACCAGAGCCCTGACCTCAACCCTGCTGAACTTCTTCAGGACCAGATCTTTTCATCCAACATCAGTCCCTGGCCTCACAAATATGTATTCCTACAGACACTCCCCCAAAATCTTGTGGAACACCTTCTCAGAAGAGTGGAGGATGTTATAACTGCAAAAAGTAGGAGGGGGCAAGTCCATATTAATTGTCAAGGTTTTGGATTTCCAACATGATACACAGAATAGAACCGGATACTAACATTTATAGGTAAAGTTGATCCAGGGAATATCCGATTGCCTCTCGGGGGATCAGGAAAGGATTTTTTTTCCCAGCAGGTGCAAATTGGATCATGCTTTGCTGGGTCGTTTTTTTTTTTTTTTTGCCTTCCTCTGGATCAACTGTGGGTGTAGGATTATAACTTTTTTCTTTTAATGGTAGAACTGGATGGATTTTTGCCTTTTTTCAGCCAGACTAACTATGTAAGCTCATATAGGTGTAACAGACAGGTGTCAAACTCAAATCCTTTGACCATTTAGCATATCTTTAAAGTAAAATGGCTTCGTAACACAGCTCATGGTTTAGTTAAAGTGTCACTAGACCAACATCATTAAAAGCTATCAAATGGCGTATTACATGCTGTTCAGGCTCACTCATTCACTATGGGATTCGTTTTCTGCAACCTGGTTGATCCTGCTGTTCTCTAGCTCCCCCTCCTGTTCATATCCCTGCTGCAGTTTGGGATTTTGCAGAGCAGTGTTGGCAGCTACTGCACATGCTCAGTTTTCAGTGAGTTACTATGCCGAGCATTTCCTCCCCATCACATCTGAGCCGGCCATGTGACTATAGAGTCACACCATGTGTGTGTATACACAGCTGAAAATGACAGCCCACTCCTTTCTCCTCCTACATGCTCACTAAACCAACTAAACACAATAGTTATGGGATACTACATCTTGACTGATGGAGGCTTCACCTCCCTGCTATTCTAAGACACAGTCTAGAACACGGGTGTCAAACCGGTGGCCCTCCAGCTGTTACCAAACTACAAGTCCCATGAGGCATTGCAAGACTGACACTTACAAGCAAAAGGCAGAGGCCTGACGGGACTTGTAGTTTCGCAAGAGCTGGAGGGTCGCCAATTTGACACCCCTGGTCTGGAAGGGTGTGACATCCTGCGACTGGCAGAAATCTGTCCACACCATGTTACTGCTAAAAAAAAAAAAAAAAAAAAAAAAAAAAAAACATAACCTCACACAATCACAAATATATATTTGTATGATTATTTTAAACAGTATATTGATATTTATTTGTACTCTGTATCCCAAAGGCTTTATAAAAAAAAAATTTTTTTTTTTGTTTTTAAATTTTAGTAGGAATTGTCATTTCCATCCCCTCAAAAAAAAATACAGCTTTGTCTGGTTCCTGGTAGGAGTCAAGAGTAAGAAATTCAGTATTTGCCAATGATAATGGTCGGCTGTATTCCTGTTAGGGGTGGGGGACAGGTGCACCTTGACAGGTCAGCCATCATAGAAAGACAAGGAAAACTTACAGTCTGCTTTTTGTAGCCTGCTCGCTGGAGCTGTACGACCTCCCGCCAGCGAACCGCACTTCCTGTTTTTGGTAGGACGTCTCGAGGTTCCTAACGGCACCTGGTTTCTGCATCCTTCGTAGGCAAGAGGAGACACAAAAAGGAAGGGGGTCAGTTTATGGGTGACAACATATTAAATTAAAAATAAAATAAAAAAAAAAAAAAAACCCCACACACCACAACCACGTGGGGCATGCGTATTTATAGTTATTCACATATTACCAAGAATGCACAAATTTTGGGGAGTGGGTGGCACAATAAATTTTTTTTAAAATGATGAAATTAAAATGCAACATGCAGGGAAATTCACCAATCAGTAAAATGAAAAGGTAGGTTCAGGGGTGGACTGACAACTCATGGGGCCCCCGGGCAATAGGGGATCATGGGGCCCGTGTCCTTGCCCAAACTCAAAAAAGCCTATGAAAGAAAAAAAAAAAAAAAAAAGTACCAGGGGCATCTCATGGGGCCCCCTACTGACCCCGGGCCCTCGGGCAGTGCCCGAGTTTCCAAATGGTCAGTCCGCCCCTGGATAGGTTATATACCAGCAATGTAATGGACCAGTGCAGGCGATGCTCCCAACAAACTGCTACCCTGTAAATACTACAACTGCAGAAAATTCACCTGAATCAGAGTTTTAATTCCCTACAGCAAGATTTCACAGGAATCCTCACCTTTAGCCATTTGAATCAAACGATTAACACCTATGCAGACATTCATATGGTATTATGCAACTCAAGGGTCTCCAAATCACTTTACCCCCGGTTCACATATATGCAGCCGTGCGGGCCACGTTTTGCCCGTGACACGCAGGGAAGAAGTCCCTGCACTTCTTTTGAAAGCACAGCCCGCACGGGAAACTCGGTTCCCAGCACGGTTGCATTTTCCAGTGCGGGCGGCGTGCCATTAGAAACTAATGGCACCCGCCCATGGGTCCGCAATTCTCTGTGTGGGTGGTGCAGATGTACGGATTTTCATGCGAATCCACAGCAGCACCACCCGCACAGATGTGAAACTAGGGTCAAGGTGGCCAGACCATGGCCGTTGGGAGCAGAAAATGTCCCATCAAAGGAGAAGAAAAAAAAAAAACAATGCCCCATCTTTGGTATCGGTGGGAGGAATTTTTCTCCATCGATGTCAGGGGACCCCATCATTGGTGTCACCGGGAGGAATTCTTTCCCATTGTTGGTTTCAGATAGAAGCAAAGAACTGTGCCTGGCCCCTATCCCACAGTTTGGAGACCACTGATGTAACTAAAGCAGAGGTTCCTAAACCTCACACCCCCCTTCTTGTTCTTGGGCAATCAACATCTGCTTTGACACATGCATGGTGATTGAATAAAGGCATCTGTGCTACCCATGTGGATATAAATATTGGGGTATCTTCCCCGAGGAAGTGGCTTCTTAACATTACACATTGTTCAGCCGAATGTAACCAACTAGTTATACTTTAGGCTTCTATTTATTCCTCTGTAACAGACTGTCAGAAGGTGAGATTGAAATATGGGAATCCAACTGGTCTTGATGTGGTCACACACTTATGATTCCACTTTGAACACTCCAGAAATGGATGTACAATATGCAAACGTTTTGCACGTTCATGTAAATGTGTGTTTCTAAGCTACAAAAGTGGCCATTACACACAGTGCAGTTCCATTAAAGTGGAACTAAACCCACCAATTGACATTGAAGGTTTGCCAATGATAATGGTCATTGTTGCCAGTGTGCTTATGCCACCTCTCATCTGAACTGTCCAGCCAACAAATGGCCAACGTCACTGCTGCTCATATGTGCAGCACAATGGCAACTAGAGATCAAACAGGGTCCAAGATGGCAGCTTCCATGGCTGTAAAGGAGAGAAGGGTTTAGTTCCACTTTAAACCGTGAACAATTGGGAATCAGAACTGCTGGTTAGCAGCAAACCGCTAATATGCAGGTTCAATGTTACAATCAGAAGTAGAGAGAATCACATTGAGGCTTTTATATAGATATGTAGAATTTATTCAGAAATAATTTTTTCCTGAATAGACTGCTGCAAGGAAATCAGTCCTGTGCCATCTAGAGTATTAGACTTAAAAGCAGATTTCCAACAATATCCCACAATGTCAGTGGGTGCGATTGGACCCAATGATGGTACAAGGCATGCCGTCTGCCATTCTGAGGATTTGCTTCCAATTACTGAAGTTTCTCATCAGTTTAGTGTAATATCTCTTGCCATGATATTAAAGTAGACCTTTAGTCAGAAAATTAAGGTATAGCTAAGTAAAAACAAGTGCCTATACTGCCTAAAAATCCAGTCTCACCCTGCTCTGCCCATGCTATTTTTTTTAGAACTGTACCTAAAATGTAGAGGCTGATCTGCTGACAGCCTAAAGATCTACTGCTGCTCAGGGGCTCTGGCAAAACCTCCTCCGGCAAGAAGAAACAGGAGTAAACTTACAGCACACACTAATTTTGGTAGCCAAACTATGAAAATGAAATTTACTGTATTTTTCGCTCCATAAGATGCACTCCCCCCCCCCCCCCCCCCCCCAAAAAAAAAAAATGGGGGGGGGGAAATGTCTGTGCGTCTTATGGAGTGAATATGGAGTGGCCGGCCCAGTATTTCCACCGCCGTTTTAGAATACCGGGCCGGCCGCTTGGCTCTTCTGTGCTCCTCGGTCCTACCTGTTCCTCGGTCCAGTGCTGTCCTCACTGCCTTTTCTCCATGGTGTCGGCATCTTTACTGTGGGCACACAGCTGTGTGAGCTTGTGCCTTCATAGCTGAGTGCCCACTGCGCATGTGCGAGAAGTGCTGCGCTTTGTGAATGGTCCAGCAGTCTTCTGGGACCTGTCACGTGTCCCAAAAGACTGGGAGGAAGGACAACTCAGCGGAAGTGGGAGCAGATACCTGTCAAATTCGGGTACCCGCTTCCCCCCCTCTGCTCCCCAAAGGTCCGCAGTCTCTGGTCGTCACCTGTACTATGTTCTCTTAGATTGTAAGCTCCCAGGATCAGGGCCCTCCTATCCCTCTTGTATTGAACTGTATTGTTGCTGTATGGTCTCCCGTTATATTGTAAAGTGCTGAGCAAACTGTTGGCGCCATATAAATCCTGTATAGTAATAATAAATAATAATATCCACAGTCTCGGGTCATCCCCTGTACCGTGTCCGCAGTCTCGGGTCATCCCCTGTACCGTGTCCGCAGTCTCGGGTCATCCCCTGTACCGTGTCCGCAGTCTCGGGTCATCCCCTGTACCGTGTCCGCAGTCTCGGGTCATCCCCGGTACCGTGTCCGCAGTCTCGGGTCATCCCCTGTACCGTGTCCGCAGTCTCATCCATCCCCTGTACCGTGTCCGCAGTCTCGGGTCATCCCCTGTACCGTGTCCGCAGTCTCGGGTCATCCCCTGTACCGTGTCCGCAGTCTCGGGTCATCCCCTGTACCGTGTCCGCAGTCTCGGGTCATCCCCTGTACCGTGTCCGCAGTCTCGGGTCATCCCCTGTACCGTGTCCGCAGTCTCGGGTCATCCCCTGTACCGTGTCCGCAGTCTCGGGTCATCCCCTGTACCGTGTCCGCAGTCTCTGGTCATCCCCTGTACCGTGTCCGCAGTCTCTGGTCATCTCCTGTACCGTGTCCGCAGTCTCTGGTCATCCCCTGTACCGTGTCCGCAGTCTCTGGTCATCCCCTGTACCGTGTCCGCAGTGTATCCCCTGTACCGTGTCCGCAGTCACTGATCATCTCCTGTACTATGTCTGCAATCTCTGGTCATCTCCTGTACCGTGTCCGCAGTCTCTGGTCATCTCCTATACTATGTCTGCAGTCCATTGGTTCCGAATATTTTTTTTCTTGTTTTCCTCCTCTAAAACCTAGGTGCGTCTTATGATCAGGTGAGTCTAATGGAGCGAAAAATACGGTATGTTCCTTAATAAAGAACATAATTTTTTTTAATCAAGTTGTTATGGGTAAAGTTCCACTTTAATAAGGGAATATACAGCCAATATTTCCCATTAAAAGGGATATCTTTCAAAAGCTATATACTGCATTTAGGTTATAAAATTTAAAAAGAAAAACATGCCAAGTGTATGGAGGAAATCCACGACTGACATTGCAGAAGACTTGATCAAAATTCCTTTTCTTGGGTTTGGACATGTTCTATCTAAGCCAATGAACTTCTATATGGTTTATGATGTTGAAATAGAACCAGACAACGGAAACTCATTCCTAGGAAAGTAATGCATTTGCCAAGGATGGTGATAAATGGGCTGCCCAATAACATCTGCTGCTATATGGTTTAGATTTCATGAACAATAAAATTAGTTATTAAAAACAGTAATTGCCAGCAATGCAATGTCCAAAAAACGAAACAATAGAAGGCCCAAAAAGGAGAAAAAAAAAAAAATAAATAAAAAGAATATTCTTTATTATGCAAAAACGAAACAAAAAAAAAAAAAAAAAAAAAAAAAAAAAAAAAAAAGAGGTTTTAGATAAAAGGTTTTCCTGTTGCCAATAAGTTATTGAGGAGCAGCCCAAATATCAAGATGTGGCAGCTCAGTGCTGGATCATCTTCTCATGAGATTTGGCCTGCTCTAAATTCTTCAAAAAAAAAAAAAAAATACTTGCCTAGAAGAAGCAGGAGGATGTCACCCTTGCCTAGGTGCCATTGGAGGAAATTGGGGAAAGGCATATATGATATCCGCTTTGGAAGATGTTACCCCCTTCATGACCAGGCCATATTTTGCACTGCGCTATTTTAACTGGTAATTGAGCGGTCATGCAATAATGTACACAAAAGAAATTTATATAATTTGTTTCCCACACAGAGCTTTCTGTTGGTCGTATTTAGTCACCAGCGGGTTTCTTCTTCGTGATAAGTGCAAAAAAAAAAAAAATTATAATAAAAATATTACACACACACACACACACACTTATAATAAAAATATTACACACACACACACACACACACACACACACACACTTATAATAAAAATATTACACACACACACACACACACACACCTTTGCTCATTCCAGCCAAAAAGTTCAATTTTAACCTCATCAGTCCACAGAACTTGTTTCCAAAATGCATCAGGCTTGTCTATATGTTCATTTGCAAAGTTCAAACGATGATTTTTGTGGTGAGGACGTAGAAGAGGTTTTCTTCTGATGACTCTTCCATGAAGACCATATTTGTACAAGTATCTCTTTATAGTGGAATAGTGACCACAACTCCAGTGTCTGCCAGATCTTTCTGGAGGGATCGTGCAGTCAAACGTGGGTTTTGAATTGTTTTTCTCACAATCCTGCGAGCTGTTCTGTCTGATATTTTTCTTGGTCTTCCAGATCTTGCTTTAACTTCCACTGTTCCTGATGACTGCCATTTCTTAATTACATTCCGAACAGAGGATATTGACATCTGAAAACGCTTTGCTATCTTCTTATAGCCTTCTCCAGCTTTGTGAGCGTCAACTATTTTCAGTTTCAGTTTTCTAGACAACTACTTAGAAGAACCCATGGTGCTGATTGTTGGGGCAAGGTCAGATGAGTCTGGGCATTTAAAACCTTTGAGATTGACATCACCTGGTCTTCCCAGACGATGATTGAGAACAATCCATGACACTGGCAGGTCTCAGCTTTGCAAAGGGGGCAGTGCATGCTATAAATTCTGCAGGGTGCCCAAACTTTCGCAGACGCCATTTTTTTGTTTTCTGTTATTTTGAAAGTGTAAATGATGGAAATAAAATCTAACTTTTGTTGACATATAAGAATGTCTAATCTGTAATTTGATGCCTTTTGGAGATTTTCCATCTTTCCTTGGCTTCTTTATGCACATTAATACAAATTTTTAGCTGGGGTGCCCAAAACTTTCGATCCCCACTGTGTGTATATATATATATATATATATATTATTTTTTTTTTTTTTTTTTATACTAGGAATGGCGGTGATATAAGCGACTTATATTGGGACTGTGATAGTGCAGTGGGCAATAGGACATTAATAAAAGTAATCAGTGTTAATAATTTACACGGTCACTGGCTGAGAAGGGGTTAACATTTAGGGGCAATCAAAGGGTTAACTGTTTACCTAAAAACACAGGACTCTCCCGTCATTCGCTCAGCAGCGGGTCCTGGCCATAATCACTGGTCACGACCTGCTGCCTGGCTTGTGCTGTAGAGAATGACAGCACTGCTGGGGCGTCAAGCACGTGCTCCCTACTCAGAAATACCAAATCACATACATATTCATGATTTGGCCCAGTTGGGACGCCCTGCCGTGGTATAAGCACAGTCCTGAAGCGCATAGGTTTTCTTTCAACACGGGTACTTCTATGCAACATTTTAGGAAAGAGGGGCAACTTGAATAAGTGTACCGAGGTGGGGTGAGCAGTTGATCTTCATGTAGGACTGATGACCTAGTGACCACTTTGGGTTTAAGCAAGTTTGAGAAAAAAAAAAAAAAAAACCCTTACCAATATAAATCACAGTCTAGAGCAGGGGTGTCAAACTGGCGACCCTCCAGCTGTTGCCAAACTACAAGTCCCATCATGCCTCTGCCTTTGGGAGTCATGCTTGTAACTGTCCATCTTGCAATGCCTCATGGGATTTGTAGTTTGGAAACAGCTGGAGGGCCACCAGTTTGACACCCGTGGACTAAAGGATCTGAAACAGGAGTTGTGTGTGGGCTCTCTAGTCGGCTAAGGAGCGAAAGATAAAAGAAACTTCAACGTTGCTCTGTGAACAGGTGACAGAACAGGGAAGGGTTGAACCCGGGCATAACTAAGCATAGCTGGCTGTATTGAAGGATTTCAGCAACTCCTCATAATTAATAAACCTCCCGCTTCTCCATTATACTGGAGTCCTTTAAGTAGCGATGCCCAAAAAAAAAAAAAAAAAAAAAAAAAGCACACCACCAATCTCCAGTAGAAAGTGGTGAGGCTAAAGCACTGAACTGACCTCAATCACAGAGACACAGGAAGGGTTTATCCTCATCAACTTCTGCCACCGCACCCGGGAGCACCAATGCAAAGCCAGGAGCAGAGGCAGATGCTGGGGTAAAGAAGGGGGGGGGGGGGTTCTTCCATCCCCGAGTCCTCAGTACTCACAGGTGTGCAGGTTGGATGGTGGGGTTCAGAGTGAACTTTGCTGTGGTTTTGAAGGCCGGATTGGCAAAATTTAACTTCAGTGCTTTCCGTTTACCTGGGAAGACAAAAAAACAGAAATTACCCACAAAACAACCCCTGGAAGACAACCTATGTACATGCAGGAATACAGGACACAGGCCATTCATTAACTGGATCAGCATTCCAGAGCAGCACCCTAAATACTCTGCTCCTTCCTCTATAACTCTCCTCTCCTGAAATACTCTGCATTGCTGGAGGACTCCGCTCCTTCCTCTATAACTCTCCTCTCCTGAAATACTCTGCACTGCTGGAGGACGCCGCTCCTTCCTCTATAACTCTCCTCTCCTGAAATACTCTGCTCTGCTGGAGGACTCCGCTCCTTCCTCTATAACTCCTCTCCTGAAATACTCTGCTCTGCCGGAGGACTCCGCTCCTTCCTCTATAACTCTCCTCTCCTGAAATACTCTGCACTGCCGGAGGACTCCGCTCCTTCCTCTATAACTCTCCTCTCCTGAAATACTCTGCACTGCCGGAGGACTCCGCTCCTTCCTCTATAACTCTCCTCTCCTGAAATACTCTGCTCTGCTGGAGGACTCCGCTCCTTCCTCTATAACTCTCCTCTCCTGAAATACTCTGCTCTGCTGGAGGACTCCGCTCCTTCCTCTATAACTCTCCTCTCCTGAAATACTCTGCTCTGCTGGAGGACTCCGCTCCTTCCTCTATAACTCTCCTCTCCTGAAATACTCTGCACTGCTGGAGGACTCCTGCCTTTAGCACGTCTCTTCTGAAATGCTCTTTGCAAGAAAAATGTTCGCTTTTTTTATTCTAATTGTATTTATTTTTTAAAGTGAAAGTACAATTTGTGTGTAATATCTATTTTCATTTATACATTTTTTTAAATAAAGAAAAAAAACCAAAAAAAAAACACAAAAAACAAATAAAATGAAAATATTTCATGCATTATGGTTGTTGAATCAAGTCCAATACATTTTTATCAATTCAACTAAAAATAAAATGGACTAAGAAATAGAAAAAAAAAAAAATAAAAAAATACCCCGACACAAGTCCAGTATCGATTTTATTTCCCCCCTGGAGACCAGAGAAAGTCCAGGGAGCAGATGTCACCCAGCCTGTCTGTAGATCTTAATTCCAGTGTAAAGACGGCCCCATTACGGTCATTTGTAGTGTTAGTGCGGCCATATTAACCAGCTTCCCGGCAATGGTCATACCTCCTGGCCCTCATCCCGCGCCACATGCGGTGAAAGGCGGGATAATTTGGGAAATGACAGATTTAATCAGTGAGTCACCTGAGCTGCGAGCTGATAATTATTCAATGTTATTCCCAGAAATGCTGCCTCTCCTACACAGGGACACGCACCATGCATTATTGATTGACTGCAAGCAGAGCAGGGCCGGGGGAGGGGGGGAAGGTGTACGCAGCTGGTGCCGCAGCCCGGTGGGGTGAGGGGACCACACAAGACATCACCAGATCACTGCTGCAAGTCTGCATTATAGGCATATAAAAATAGATTGCTCTCTAAAAAAGGAAGGGGGGGGGTGTCTAAGAGGGTCACCGCAAAAACCTGCTCCACTGTTGTTTTGTGTGTGTGTTTCATTCAACTTGCGCTACAGAGACCGCAATGACCTTGAGTGTATTTAAACTACGAAAATAAAAAATTCACGCAAAATATAGAAAAAGGCTACAAAAATAAATTAGTGCATAAAAGCTCAGATTGATTTAAAAAAAAAATATATATATAAAAATACATATCAATCTGAGCTTTTATGCACTAATTTATTTTTGTAGCCTTTTTCTATATTTTGCGTGTGGATTTTTTTTTTTTTTTTTTTTTTTTAAATAAAACACTACAAAATAGGTTTTGCGTGTAAACTGACAGGGGGGAAAGGGGGAAGGAAGGAAGAAAAAGGAGGAAGGAAGAAAAAGGAGGAAGGAAGAAAAGAAGGAAGGAAAGAAGGAAGGAAAGGAAGGAAAGAAGGAAAGAAGGAAGGAAAGAAGGAAGGAAGGAAGGAAAGAAGGAAGGAAGGAAGGAAAGAAGGAAGGAAGGAAGGAAGAAGGAAAGAAGGAAGGAAAGGAAGGAAAGAAGGAAGGGAAAGGAAGGAAAGGAAGGAAGGAAGGAAGGAAGGAAGGAAGGAAGGAAGGAAGGAAGGAAGGAAGGAAGAAGGAAGGAAGGAAAGAAGGAAGGAAGGAAAGAAGGAAGGAAGGAAAGGAGGAAGGAAGGAAAGGAGGAAGGAAGGAAAGGAGGAAGGAAGGAAAGGAGGAAGGAAGGAAAGGAGATAGGAAGGAAAGGAGATAGGAAGGAAAGGAGGAAGGAAAGAAGGAAGGAAAGAAAGAAGGAAGGAAGGAAAGAAGGAAGGAAGGAAAGAAGGAAGGAAGGAAAGAAGGAAGGAAGGAAAGAAGGAAGGAAGGAAAGAAGGAAGGAAGGAAGAAAGAAGGAAGGAAGGAAGGAAGGAAGGAAGGAAGGAAGGAAGGAAGGAAAGAAGGAAGGAAGGAAGGAAGGAAAGAAGGAAGGAAGGAAGGAAGGAAAGAAAGAAGGAAGGAAAGAAAGAAGGAAGGAAGGAAAGAAGGAAGGAAGGAAAGAAAGAAGGAAGGAAGGAAAGAAAGAAGGAATGAAGAAAGAAAGAAAGAAGGAAGGAAAGAAGGAAGGAAGGAAAGAAAGGAAGGAAAGAAAGGAAGACGTAAAACCGCTCTCAATGACCACAAACGAAAAGGGGGCCACAGTGACCACCAAGCTGTTCTATGATTTACAAAGTGTTGACTTTTGTCCAGTATATGCTTTGCTGTGAACTAAACAATATGGGGTTACCAGAAAAAAAAAAAAAAAAAAAAGTACACACAATTTGGGGGCATTTTAAGGCCTCAAAAAAGTAAAAAATGTTGGGGTTTTTTCTTAAAATGTCTTTTCTTGGGTCTCTTTCCTTTAAATATTTAAAAAATAAACTACATTACAAAAAAAAATAATAAAATCATATGGGTACAGTTTTGCATGACAGATCAATTGTCAGTCAAACCATCAGGGCATTGAGAACTAAAAATGGCCAAGTAATGAAGGGGTATTACAAGTTGGTACCCAAGTTATGAGCTGACTAACAATTCTCAGAAACCATGTTTTACAACTGCCATATTTGAACATTTCTCACCGGCAAAAGAAAGGAAGACAGACAAGAGTGGCCAACATTCAATGCTAGTGGGGGGAGATTTACAGAGACCCTCACAGGAGCTTTATCCTTACAATTCCTTGTGCTTTGGTCTATAATTTGAAGCTGTGGGATATATACAATTCACATATTCAAGCAACACAGTGGCTAAGTGGTTAGCACTTCCGCCTAGCTCTATTAGAGTCATTGGTTCCAAACTCAACCACAGCACTACCTGCCTGGAGTTTGCATGCTCTCCCTGTGCCTCTGTGGGTTTTCCTCCCACACTCCAAAGACATGTTGGTTGGTCAATCGGATCCTGTGTAAATTGTCCCTAGTATGTGTATGAATGAATGTGAGTTAGTGACCTTAGATTGTAAGCTCCTTGGGGATTAGGGACTGATGTGAATGTAAAGTATATGTAAAGCGCTGCATAAAATTGATGACACTATACAAAGTTCCTAAGGATAAAAAGACATTTAACTCATATGTACATTATAGCAGCTATACAAATTTCTCGGCAAAAATTTGTTGGAGCAATTCATGAGCAACCCTCTGTTAATCTCTTACAAGCTTTAGATGAGGCCTCACCAATAGAGAAAAAAAAAAAAAAAAACTAAACACCACACCGTTTCAATGAAAAAAGTGAAATTTAGCAAATCATAACTATGGAAGCAAAAATTAAAATAAAAAAAATCTGAAAAAGCAGCAATCCACACAGCACACACGCCAATCACCATTGTTGGGTTGATCCATTAAAGATTTAGAGCCAAGTTCTCTCAAGTTGACCAAAACAAAATGGCAGGACAGCCATTTTGGAAAGGTTTACGGTGTCAATGTGTATTGGCGATCGTCTGAAAGGAGGATTGCTGCTTAAGACAAGTTCAAGGTCTCTCACCATAAAAAAAAAAAAAAAAAAAAAAAAAAAAAAAAAGAAAAACGTGAAAAATTAAAAAGTACAATGGCAATGATTTCAATGTCAGAAAATTTTAAGACAAGGCTGGACAAGAAGGTGCCCATTCAGTGACCCAAACCATTTTTTTATGTCCTCTACAATTTTTTTCGAAAGACATGCTGGGAATTGACATTTAACAGATAACAACAAGGTGTACATAGTGTAGATACTTTTTATTAAATAAAAAAAAATAAAATAGTTTTCCCAGAGTTTTCTCTTAAATGTACAGCAATGTTGGAGGCCACCACAGGAAGCCCTGGAGGCTGTAGTTGGCCAGTTGTCCAGCCAGGTCTTGAAATTTATGGCAGAATACCCAACTCCTGTAGATGATAATCATCCTTGTTATCATCTAGTGATATTTCCTGGAGAAGCACCTTACTGGATTTCAGTTTCAAACTTGCAGAAGACAAATCCAATGCACATTCATTTTTATGGTGAGCCTCTTTAAAGTGGACCCATCAACACATTCTCATTCAAAGCTACCCAGAAGACTTTTTCATTCATGGAAAAGAATAATCTCATACAGTGCAGAAGCAGGAGGAGGAGAAAGGATTAAAGCATTGCAAAAGTTGGCCAAGACAGAAACAGGCTCCTCCTGCCGTTTTGATTTGGGCAACAAATTTAAGACTCCCATCACCAAAGAAAAATAAAAGGGGTTGTCCACTTCAACAAAATGTAAGACTCAAAAACCCAATATGGAACAACCATTATGTTCCCCTCTAGGTGGAAATTCTACAAGTCATCCATGTACATATGACAGAGCACCAACAAGGTCTACTCACTCATCGGACCTGATTCTTTCAAGCTTTTAAAAACGACTAACATCTGAATACTTCTTAAGACGTGACATGCCTCTTTAAAGGTTAACCATACAACCTGAAGAACTTTTAAAACTTAAAAATGTACGGAACATACACTTTTATTTGGTATAATGTGATCAGCTTTCAAGCTCCCTCCTATCTCATGGAGTGGAGAAGTCATCTTAATCTCTAGTGACCAAGACAGATATTCTTTCGATTCTGAAATGTACAAAGTTCACATTAATGGACCAACAAA